GTCAGATGAACCTATCGACATAGAAGGAATTCACTATGATAAGAAAACTATTCAAGAAATCGCCATTCCAGAAGTCATCCCAATTAGACTAATTCCAGAACATAAATTAAAAATTGAAAAATTGAATATTCCAGAAAGCCACGGACAACTCCAACCAATAGAGCCAATAGCACTTATGCCACAAATTTCAACAGGACTCAGCACTGTCGCCCTTGTCCTTATAATTTCTGTTTCAGCCATCCTTTTTACTATCGTAGTAAAGAAAAAGAAAAGAATATCAAAAATTCTTTTTGGGCCCAAACTACAACCAGCACAAATCCAGGTTCTTCAGGAGCTACTCGTAGAGACTTCGAGGACGAAGCCAGGACCAAAGGAGGGAGGAGAAATGTGATAGAAACCCACCGTTCAATGCCCGGAGTGCCTCGTCAGCAAAGTCAGCGCTTTGCACCTTGGCGACAATGAACCCGAGATTATAAATACCATGTCAACGTGGGAATCAACGTTCTTTTTATTTTAATCACTTACGATAAACATTGTTAATTAAAGATCCATTTTTGTATATTTTTTAAATAAATAAAGTTTGCTTTTTTTTGGAAACTTAAAGTGTTGTTAACTTAACTATATATTTATTTAAAGAAATAATTTATACTTACATAATAAATCATGCATACTCGATAAAGACTGAATCTTTGCATGAGTTAAATAACAAACAAATAATTTAAGAAAAGGATTAAACTTCAAAATCAATACATCAATTAAAAAAAAAACAGTTTCTGGAGACTCGAAGACGAAGGGAGGCCCAGTGAGGGGAGTATCCAAGATGGCGACCATCGTTTACGTGAACGAGTATAGGTAAATACTGAAGAAAAAAGTCATACGCAATGACAATGTCAAAACGGCCTAAGTCTATATCTCCGCTGTTATTGGTTTAATTCAAACGGGGAAAGCGGAGAGTGGAGAGAAATTACATGTAGATTAACGTTGAAGATAAAAATCACGAGCAATGGCAATGCCAAAAGGACCTAAGTTTATATCTTTATATTGGTGCAATTCAACTAGAAAAAACTGGAAGTGGGGGGAAATTACAAATAGATTAAACTGAAGAGAAAAATCATTAGCAGTAGCAATGTCAAAAGGATCTAAGTCTATAGATCTGCTGTTATTGGTCCGATTTAAACAATAAAAAAGCCGTTATGTGTAGGAGACGTAACATAGATTAACACTGAAGAAAAAATCATGCACAATGAAAATGCCAAAAGGACCTAAGTCTATATCTATTGGTCCAATTCAAACGGGGAAAATGACGTTGTGGAGGAGACGTGACATAGATTAAAGTTAAGGAAAAAATTATGCGCAGTGGCAATGTTAAAAGGACCTAGTCTAAATCTTTGAAGTTATTGGTCCAATATAAAATGAAAAAATGGTGCTATAAAGAAGACGTAACATAGATTAACTTTGAAGAGAAAAATCAAGCGTAGTAGCAATGTCAAAAGAACCTAAGCCTATATCCTCGTTGGTATTGGTCCGATTCAAATGAGAAAAACACGGGAGTGGAGGAAATTAACGTTGAAAAGAAAATGATGCGCAGTAGCATTGTAAATAAGACTGTAACAGCCTTTTGGTTTCACCTACAGTGAATCAGGAAGTCTGTACGGCGCTAAGATGGTAAATGCAGAATAAGGGCTGCTTGGGCGCCAGTTTTGGTAATACAGTTTGCTCTGCGAACCTGTAGTACACCAGAGTATACTCAAGATAAACTCAGTGGAGTTAAAAGTACCTCCAGGTGGTCACTTAAATTAAGAATCAAGTCCAATCTTAAGAAAAAATTACCAACGGTTTTCCAAGAAGGGATGAACTGAAAATAACTCTGAGTTTGAATCAATATTCTCCGGCTAATTAAACGGATGTCCAAAATAACTATAAAATGAAGGCTGGCACTACGGTAACTAATATTCTCGAACTAATAAACCTTCACTAGGGCGGCGGTTGTAGCAGAAGAAGAGATTACGGTGGTCAGGAATCAAGAGAGCGAAATTTGTTTCCTTCATCCTATTTATGCCCTTCCAGCAGAAGAGATCCACGTCTGCACAATTTCGGAGTGGGAGAAACCACCAATAGTTTTGGACTATCTACTATTAACGGAATAAAAAATGTCCTTTGGGTACCATAACAATCAATCTAGATAATTTGCATGAAATTTAATATTTTAATCCGATTATAAATTACGGTATATACGAGAATATTTTAAATTACGAGGGCTCTCTCAGATGTTCAAAACCGGCAATTTCTGGGAGACTCAAAATACGGGGATCTTTGAAACGTTCCTCGGCGGAAATTAATTATAATTAAAATTTAGTGACTTCGTCACAAGACACTAACGTCTAACTTCGTTAGTAGTTGACTTTGTTCTTTATTTACCAACCATACCGCGCCTTGATGTCTGACCCGCTGGCGAGATCGAAACCCGCCTCGAGAAATCGACTCTCGCAGTCCGACGCGTCGATGAAAAATTTCGAGGAGCTTCTAGACCGTCGAGAATCTACTAGAGCAGGGCTGGGATTATATAAATAGCGCGACATTGTTTAGTAGTTCAGTCTAAGTCGAATCATAGCGGTGAGAACATCGATAAAGTAAATGTGATAGTACAATTATTGAAAAATAAATAGTGTGAATTATAATAAATCTTAGGTATTAAAAAAAAATAATTAGTAGTAGTGTATAAATAAATTGTTTTAAATAAATAAACTATTTTTAAATTAAACAGTCGTTACAATGTTATAAAAAACACTTCGTACTCGTTCAAATGCTTCAGCAGGAATTGGCCTATATTCTTCAACAATTCGTTTGTTTAACACGTCAATCCTGTTAGGAACTGTAGCGTAAACCCTAGATTTAAGATATTTCCATAAAATAGCACTCCAGATACATATCATAAAATTAAGCCGTTTCTCATTATCATAGCAACTCAATGCTATTTTGTTGTTTGTATACCAATTGATCACCATCTTAACTGTCAAAAAGTCGTGTAGTTTAGAGTACTTAATATAAAATTTTCATTTATATAATTTTCTGCTAAATAACCAATAAATAAGAGGTACAATCTTTCATCTTCATGTAAAATACTGACTAAGTCAACTACCACCTAATAACTAGGTTAATAGATGGGGATCTAAAGTAGACATCGTTTGCTGAAGACATTTACTATCTTTGATGCGTAACAAGCTAGTTAATGATTGAACAATTACAAATCCTAATGCGATTACAGAACTTCACATGCTACAAACGATGAATCCACGAAACTTTTGAATTATCCTCCTATTGGCACTCTTAATACCTCGACGGCATTATATAAATATTAATTAGTTCTTGTACATAAAATTAACGATCGCGTCGTGGGTAAAACAAGACGCAACACCAGAATAGCACCGCAGAGAAAGCCAAACCTGTCCGAGCTCTGCCATATTTCGCATTTGTTCGCGAACAACTCAACTATGACGGAACGAACAGCAGAACGCTAATTACAAGAGGATGATTATGATTAGCTTTGGGCCGGCTAATCCGACCAGCTTATAAGCTCTGTTCGGGAGTGTTTGGATGGAGCTTATGCGGGGCTTAGCGCTGCTGTTTTGATGTATTTACATGTACGCGGTAGGTGTACGGCGGTTCCATTCTCGGCTACAAGGTGGCGCTCTTTAAAAACTGCTAATATGTGTGTATGTGAATAGAGCTACTCTTTTTTTGCTAGTTATAGAAAGGAATAAAACCCTTTAAACTGTGAACTTATGACATTAAAACTGAAATTATAATTACTTTCTTCACTAGTAATTACCACCCAATGAAACTAAAATCACTCATCGTAAGTAAATATTTAGTTAATAGTGGGTCGTCTAAAAACTAATGTATTCTTACATAAATCCATAACAAGAAACGTGAAATATTAATGCACAATTTGTACTATCAGAGATTCGAGTAATACTATTGTATAGAGTGTCTGATCAAGGCCTGATTGATTGATATTTTAAAGCAGAATTTTGTTTGTAAGAAAAGCAAAGACAGGTTAATTTTTATTCCAAAGGGACACCTTTCCGCTATATCCTCGACTCTCATACGTCATTCCCATACCCTTAATCAATCTAACCAATACAATTTAAATAGGAAAAGTACCAAGTACGACCCATCATTGAAAAGGTACTTTTATGGGGAATTCAGCAATATTCAGTAACACTAGCAGCTTTAATTGCTTTCAAAATTCTTCTTTTAGCTGATCGCAGATTACGTTTTTCCCATTGCTGCTGGGGGACATTTGGGAATACTTGTGTAGGCACAGTATTAGATTTCAAATGGCGGCTGTTTATTGGCAACAATTTTTTACTGCAGAGGCATTTCGAAACAGAGCAAATACAAGTAGCAAAAAAATCTAGTCCATAATGTATTATGTAGGGGAAGGTATTGTATGCAGGGACAATATTTTTTGTCTTTGTTTTTATTATTACAATGCATTGTAAACGTAAAAGCCTTTCTTAAAATAAATTAAAATTTTTCAAAATATATTCATGGCGGTTACAAAACGCAAGTCCCTCTATACAATAGAATCCCACTATACACCAATCTCCCTGTGTATAGTGGGATTTTGGTACGTGCATAGTGGGACGAATTAAATAGGAAGGTATATGATCAAAAAAGGTGGATAAAATATAGTTACATAAGTATAAAAAGTTTTATTTCAGGTAAGTACAGGTTTACAAATTTAGGTACCTACTTTATTTTGTAAGACGAAAAGTCAAAATTGAAACGCCACTGCTTTGAACCTGTTTCAGTGCCGCCGATTAAATTGGCTCAGGAAGTTTAGTGACGATGTTTTCTTCTTGAATTAAATCTTTATCTTTTTTTATTACTGGTTCTTTTCAAAAAATTAACATTATATTCAATAGCCTGAAATTCATTGTCCAACAAAATATTTTGTTTTCAAAGGATACTGACAAGAACAAAATCTCTTTCCTTTATTTCAGGACCACACTTTCAGGGAATTCATCTGAAACTTCAGATTCGTCATCACACAGATTTTCCATTGATACATGGGTGTCAGTGGAATCTGCAAATAGATTATTCGTAACAACCTGTACGGCCTTCACTTTTGAAGCTGTATGCGCTTTTTTGGCCTCTTTCATTCGTTTATCTTCCTCAGGTCGCTGCTTTTCTAGAATTACTGGCGATTCTATTAATATAGTAGACCCAATCTTTTTCCTTTTCAAAATATGTTTTCTAGTAGAAGCTTTTAAATGTGGCCTTATAGATTCTGGAGCCACGATATCCATTTTGGAGGTTAGTTGAAAAGGCACTAAATCATTTTTTGTGACATCTGCATCTCCTGATTTGTTATAATTCCAGAGCAACCTGGCTGAGTAATGTCTACTGGTTAGGTATTGTCTAAAGCCCAGGGCCGCCGAGAGCCAGGCCGGGCCAGAGGACAATTCTCTAAATCGGGCCCCGTGATAATTTTATATAAAATATTCTCTCCTCTTTACTTAAATTTCTCTAAAAAAAAGCTCTTCAAACAAAAAGTTTTCCTCCTCTACTTGAATTGAAAAAAAAAGGTCCCCAACCAAAAACTTCCCCCTCTTGTCTTGCGCCGAACTTCTGAAAGAAAACAAAATTCCTCGCCACGGTTGCCGGGCCCCCCTTATACCGCTGCCGGGCCCCCCTAATACCGCTGCCGGGCCCTCATTTGAGTTCGGGCCCCGGGAATTAGTCTCGGCTGCCCCCCCTCTAGTCAGCCCTGCTAAAGCCCCTAACAAACCAACTGTTTCAGACTGTTTCTCGTCATGTTCTCCGTTAGAACGTTCACGATCTGTTACATATGCAAAAAGAAAATCAGGTTCGTTAAATATTTCTGAGTTTGGAGGAAATATTCCTGTTTCTTGGTGTAAAGGCACTTGGAAAAAATTTGCCTACTACTTCTGCAATGTTATAAAATAAAGTTGGAACTTTGGGATGGTTTAACATCCAATCGTACATAGCCCTATTGTAGTAAACCTTAAAGGGTTCAAAACAAGTTCGAGTTTGTGACTGCAATGAGGAGGTAGCATAAGCTATACAATACTATTAAGCTTACAATACTCTTAACACTTTCACATCAGTGTTATCTAAAATCATCAAGATTTTGTTATCTTAAGTACAACGTACTGTAGCGATAAAATGCTTCAGAAACTCTAAAAAGTTTGTTCCTGTCATCTAACCACTTAAATGCGCTTCTCCCTTTGAGCTAGCTGGTGCACCATTAAGCGGTTTAAAGTTTTTTCAGGGTAAAATGTAAAACGGCGGTACAAATATACCGTTTGCATAGATAGTGGCACACATGGTCAGTAAAATTCCTCTTTCAGCACTTGTTACTTTTCTACTTGTTTGTGGCCACATGGAGCTAATATTTTAGGAGGTCTGTGCACAATTGTAACTGCAGTTACGTCGCTGTTATATATTTGGTTTGCAGCAAAAACGTGTTTTTCAATAACTGTGCGCAGGTTGTTAAAAAATAATCCAACATTATGTTCGTGTACGTAGACTTATTTTGTGCCTGGCTTTAAATAATAATAACCATTCTTCTAATGTACATTTATGGAATTTTTTTCTGAATGGCGTTTGCAAATCTGTAAGCGAATGATCGTGTTCCTTTTACATATGTTACGCAGTAGTTAGGTACTCAGAGAGCAACTTTTCTTTCTCTTCTGAAAAGATTTAAGAAAACCCATGTTTTCTTTCAAAGCAAAAGTTTTGCCCTAAGATCCTCTTGGGTAACTTGATATTTCTTAACAAATCTTTGCAAAGCCGATTTGCTAACCTCATATTGACGAGAGGCTTCTCTCATTTTAATTTCTTCATTAACAACCGCTAAAACAGCTCTCTTAATTCTTTTTAGCGTATTGTTTGTGATTTAGTTTACTTCGTCCATTCAAAAAGAATCTGTTATGTCGTAATTATATTTAAAATCTCGGACAAAAACGAAAATTTGAGACGCCCTGTATATCCGACTGTTGGTAAAGAGGAAGAGAAATTAAATACTCTTTCCTATTTCCGTACATTTGATTTCTTGCTTGGAGGTATTAAATTTTGTAATTTCCAGAGATGTGTTAGCTACGTTTTCTGTAAAATAAGAGGGATGTATTTAAATGGATGAAATAAAGGAAAGTTTTATGAATTTGAAAGTTAAAAGGCTTTAGTGAAATGGGAAATTAGCAGGAAATTTTGCGACAGGGGACTTAACTAGAGTTTAGGAATATGGAGGTGTATCTTCCTAATAATAATAATATCTAAACAAAAAGAACTTGGCTTATATACCGTCACATCGATTGTCATCACTAATATGATAAATAAGTAATATAATAGTAATATAAAACTAGACTTGAAAAAAATTAATAATAAAGATATATACAATAAATTTAATGTACAGTTTGATAATATAGGAAAGAATTTGGCTAAAAAATTGTAAAAGATAATTCTCAAAAGTTTATTAAAACTACACAAAATAATTTAACTGTGCCCCTAGAAATAAATGGAACTGGACGTTTAAATATAATTAACGGCTTAAAAAATAAAAAGTTGTGATGACATTTGTGCAGAAGTTCTAAAAATTGTGAAATCTCATATAGCAAATCCGTTAACATATATTCTAAATAACTGCATTAAAATAGTAGTTTCTGCAACAAGAGTGAATAAGGACAATCCACTCGAGTTTTACACTACGACCCACTAACGAAAATCTACAAATACAGATATCTTAAATTTTTTAAGATATCTGTGTGTAAATGTTACTTTTAGTATTAGATTTTATTTATATATTGTTCTGTTTTAACTGTTTCGGCAAATTCCACATATGCCATGTGCCTTGCATTAATTAATTTAATAAGCCTTGGAAAAGACGAAAAATAAACGTCGAAACGTCGGCAAATTAAGAGTAAATGTTTCCTTTTGGCACGTCCTCTTCCCACTAACCTCACACTCACAAATATATTTAAAGGACGAAAACTTTTACTGAAAACATATACTGTTTGGTTTCAAAGAAAAAATCACAGAATGGAGCAAAATCAAATATTTTAGTCTATTTCTGGATCTTAGTAAGGCATTGGATACGGTTGGTCGCCATTTTCCTTTACAATGTCTAGAGAATATTATAGAGCTAAGAGAAAACTCTTTATCACTACTTAAGAGGTCAGAATCAAGATCGATGCAGGAAATGGACCAAAGGCGGTAATACTCGGATCGGCATAGCTACCTTCAGACGATCCTGAAGAAACACGTACCAGAGAAGTAATGGAGCTGGTGAGATTCTGCAGGCGCAAAGGAATGCAGATGATCATTGTCTGTGATGCAAACGCATACCACAGGATCTGGAGAGCACCGATACCAACGAAAGAGGTGAGTCTTTATTACAATTTATAATGGCAAATAATTTAGATATAACAAATGTAGGCAATAAACCGACCTTTATAACAAAAAACAGAAAGCAAGTACTAGATGTAACAATAGCATCAACATACTTGAGTAATTTTGTTACAGACTGGCAAGTGTCTGACGAAGAGAGTTTATCAGATCACAGACACATAAACTTCAATATTAAAGGTAATATTGCAAAAGAAACTTATCGGAATCCCAGGAAAACAGGCTGGAAGGCATACAATGCTTCCCTGGAATGTAATCTTCTGAAGATGAGAAAGACGGTAAGAATAACAACCGACCTAGAAATGGCTGTGGATGAGTTTAATGACACAGTCACCAGCTAGTGCAGGGCATAGTGGCGCATTCGTTTGCAAAATTGTTTTAATTCGTAATTTTTTTTATAAAATGTCCGGAAGGCTTTCCTAATTATAAAAGTGTAAGATGACACTTCATATTTGTTGATGTTATTGTTTAAACAACGAAAAATTAATTAAGTCAGAAAAAATGCATTTTTTGCAATGAATTAATTTTTTTATATTCTTTAGGATATTTCGAATAAAAAAAGTCCTTACGCCCATCATCGTATCTTTAACCCTTTAATTGTTATGAATTTTTTAAAATCCGAAATTGACGAAAATTCTAATTTTCTTGAATTAAATAATATACCTTAAAATTCTCCCACTTCATACACATAACTTGACAGGTTTATGGCGGATCTAACCGAAGTGGACGCGATACGTTGGCGTATAAAATTATTTTTTAGATGTTAATAACAATTTCGAGTAAATAGTTTAATAAATTGTGAATAGCTTTTGAGATTTATAGAATTATGATTTGGGTATTATAATACATGTTTAATAATTATTTATAGTCCATAAATACATGCGATTGTCCAGTTCTTATTCTTTGAAACGACATTTGCAGGTAAACATTACTGCAAAATTCTCGAAGTCGTCCGACGAGGTTTGACGTTTACCCCCTCTCTACCAACCAAAAGCCTTTCCAACTTCTGCCTCTGGTAATTTCCCTAAGTTTTTCTTATTGCCAATTTGGGTACTGATGAGACAAATTACATGAAAAATTATTTGTTATTGTCTTCAAAATTTTACAATTTTTTCATGTTTCGTCTTAAGTATATCTTTTCCAAATTTAAATTTGATATGTTTCTATCACGAGAGAAACGAGACGAGACAAGACGAGACGAGAGAATGGCTCTCTCGAGCAAGAGAAGCGCCTTCTCGTCGAGACGAGAGAACAGTTTTCTCTCGCCCTACGAGACGAGACGAGAGAGGCCTCTCTCTCGACTCGACTCAGTGGGAACTAGTAGTCGAGAGATAATTGAGTACGAAGTACCTCAAGGCAGTGTCTTGGAACTCATACAACGAGTATTCAATATGTATTGTAATGGAAAATAACTTAATTTAATATAAATATTGGATCAGATTTATGTAACATTACAGTATAATTTTTACATAAATAACATTATATTTACAACTAAATCACTTACCTGATAATGTAGAGGTTGCAAGTGTCAATTGTAATTAAACTAACATCAAGTCTTCTAAGATCTGCTCTAATGTCTAAAATGTAATTATGAAATAAATAAAATAGAGTTTACATAATAAAGTTTAAAAATAATGAATCAAATAAGAAAAGAACACCCCCTAATATGAAAGTTATTTAGAAGAAAAGTGTATTTGTATTATAACTAGGTATAAGTATTAATAACTATTAATAAAAGTTTCGGTAAAGTGAATTTTAAAACTTGTGAAACTAATTGTCGTTTGAACTGAACGACAAGGTAATCATTGGAAATCACTTTAATAATAATAAATTGCTAGATATTAAAGGGATTACAGAGTATTCCATTTGAAAAAATTGAGAA